CTGGACCCCGTGTCAATGGGTGTAGACTCAGGTCGTAGTGAATGTCCCCACCAAGATTGGAACCAAACCTACACCATTGGGTCATTCTCATTCTTAGTCCAGTCTTATCGACTCTCTCTCTTTATCTTTGGGATCCATGCGCACACACAGTTAAAATTTAATATTACTTATACAAGTTTTTGCAGCATTAAAAAACGTGAAGAATGTTTTTCCTCCTACAGAAACCACATTCAAACTAGAAATAAAATATAGCCCTCACACTCCATTTTCAGACATTTTTGAAAAGGCTCCAAGGAGCCACTTTAGGGGCACTAAAGGTTGCCGACCCCTGGTTTATACAGTATGTGGAAGCAAATACTGTAGAGGATCAGGATGTCTGCAGTTTCAACAATAACATAAAGTACAATAGTCTACATTAAACAGAGTAATAAACATGTCCCAGAGTGAAGGAGGTGGACACAGACAACACTATTGTTTGTTACAGGGATGAGAATTGGTAAACATTTCTGAAATGCATATTGTCAGCCATTAGCTGGCTCTAAATCTGTTTAATCTGTTCACAACATTTTACTTTTGGGCTCAAACATGAACTTTTAATGCAATGGAAAATTTAGGTACCCGAGCTTTAATTTAGAGGAGAGGGGAGACGCGGACTGTTTTCTTCAGCGGTGTATTTATTGGGTGCACAAATTACGAAAAGACACGCATGGTCTTGTGCGCGTTTATGGTCTTGGGTACATGGTTACGTTGCGGCTACGCGCTCACCGTGTTGTGTTGTGAGCGGTTCCCGCGTCCAGCTCAGAGCCGCTGGATGCGGGAACACTGCGGCCGCTGAGGTGGTGGAATCCCGTTCGAGTACATACAGCAGGTGCCCCGCGGACACGCGCGCTCCCCTCAAACATTTCTCAACGGATTTACACTTTTCACAAACATGTTTTTTGTATGAGGCAGACAGACCGGCCCAAATATGGGCATCGGCCTTTCGGGCATTGCCCGGTACGCCCGATGGCCAGTCCAGCCCTGCCTGAACAGCTGCAAGGTGCGCAGTTTAACCTGGAGCTGCGGTGGGACTGTGGTGTTTCCATTCAATAAACACGCTCACAACAGCGATTTACAAACACATGACCAGCGCCTGCTCTCACACATTGTTCTCATATACTACAGTCATAAGAAATATTGATGTAGAAAAAGAAATCACATGTGGAATTAATGCTGTATGTGATCGCTATCACAGACCAGGAAAATGACGTTCGGGTTGTATGAGTGAGCAATAATGTGACTAATAATGAGCATGCAACTGTGACAGGACGAACATGTGTGTGTGTGTAAAGCATGACAGCAGCAAGAGGGTGTCACTGAAAGATGACAGCAGACGGCCAAACACATGTTGTATTTGTAGAGTGGGCTAGATCCACCTGCGTGTCCGCGTACTCGCACCCCGCTTCACCTGTCTCCAAAGCATTGTAACACAATGTCACTGGCAATAGAATGGTACACCCTGTTCCTGTTACCTGTGTCGTGTAGCCACAGACACACACACATAGATCGTACGCTCGGACGCGGTTTGGTACGTGGTGCAGCGACAGATTAACCTGCTGACGCATCTCCAGATCCTCTTTCAGAGACGTCTCTGCAGCATTTCTCTGTCACTGCGCTGCGGACATGTGTTTTACGCGTTGCTCGGTCACAATTCCATGTCACAATTGTTCCCTTGTGTGCAGTATTACTGGACCAACATAAACATTTGTAATGAACACAGCACAACACTGACATGAGCAGCTGCAAGGTTTGCAGGTGTACCACGTCCACCCCAAATATACATCATTTTGGCCATCTGCTACTGTCAGCGAAATGTCCAGCAATCAATATTAATTTGTATGCATATTCATCATCATTCATGGGCATTGGTCTTTCTCTATGAACCAATACACATGGGTTCAATATTTCCTGCGTCTTCGCTGTTGATTCTCCAATCTGTGTTGGTGATTTCAACGTGTGTCAAAAAGATTCGTAAGTGTAATGTGGTTGTTCTAGCAGTACACCAGCAGATGGTGCTGTTGTAGCTGGTTATTACCTACACGCAAGCAAACCAAAACCTACTGCCTCGACAAGACACACTACCGCAGCTGTTTATGATATTTTTTTCCTATATTTAAACTCTTGTCATTCACACCACTGTATTATACAGTGGGATCTATTATGATAACTGGTTTGGGTGTTACTAGCTTGGAGCTGAGGGATTCTCGCGTACTGCAGACTAAATTCACGTGGGCTACACAGACATTTCCCTCATAGAACTCAAAGTAAACTAAAACAGCTGATAGAGGACCTACAGCTTTCATAAAAGTCGGATTTTGTGGGAATTTAATTGTTCCTTGTCATCCTGAACTTTTCTTCTTCTTAAATCCTTCGGTTTTCTCTATCTACACTATAGTGCTTGTAGTGGCCAAAATGTACCTCCAGCCTCTAGATGTCACTAGTGCTGGATACTGTCACACCTGTGTGTATTTAAGGCAGGAAATTAGTGCAGCAGGTGTTGCATGTGTGAGGAGGAACAGTCTTTTGACCGTGTTGATCAGCACATGGAAATAAAGGATGGAATTTTGTGCATATTTTTGAGTATTGGACTCATTTTTGGACCAGGAAACACGCGTCTGAACTCCCACCAAACATTGCAACCTAGTGGTTCAGTGACATAGGGCCACTGAGCCTCTACATAAGTCAAAAGACTCCTCTGACGGCATCAGGGAGGATCCCAGCTTTGTCTAAATCTGAGGTACAGAAGCAGGACTGCCTCAATGTTTAGAGTGGATTGGCCGTGCAGATGCTGTTGTTGGGATTAAGGGGAGACTTTTTGAATGGAAACCTTCACAAAGGGGTGACTTGTGCTTATATATAGTTGAAGAAAAACTGAATCAAGTGCTTTGATACAATGACTTATGACAAAACTAAATCTTTGGCTGCAGCTTGTTTAGAGATTAAAGCAAATATAGCTGCACTACTGGTGCGAAAGGCTGCATTGGATCAAAAGTATGAATTGGAGGAGCAGATTGCAGTTCTTCGAAGGAGAAGGGAGCAACTGGAAATTGAGATCAAAATGCTTGAAATTAAAACTAAACTTGCATCATTGAAGTCTCTAAATAAGAGCAATAGACCAGTTTCTGAACTAAAACTCCCTAAGCCAGACAAATTTTTCCTGCATGAAGTTGTAACTTTGCCACCTTCCATTCTTGAACTCTGCAGTGAAGATACAGGGGCCGGTCATCAGGATCTTCACTGCGCCTCTTTGGAAGACACTACTCCAGACCTTTGTGATCACACCTCCAACAGTTCGCCATCTCCAGCACAGGACAACCTCTCATTCGCTAATTGTGAGCTTAATCCCTCTGAAATAGTGGATTCCTCAGATGTGGCCAGTGGCACAGGTATTGGACCTGGTGCTGCTGAAGACCTTTTGACAAAGGCAGGAGGCACTCTGGGGAAAGGACAGGGTAGGACAGGCCTCCCTGATTTGCATGTATGCTCAGTGGACAGAGGGGACATAAAGAAGAGAAGTGAGGTTACAGCTGGTGAAGTATTGGACATGGGGTTGTGTGGTCTCTTTTCTTCATTGCCAACTAGCCTTTGGCCCACTAACTGTGGAGTTCAAGATCTGTTTCATCTTGACAAACCAAAAGCATTCAAGAGGAAGAGATGGAAAGATGAAATGTATGTGGACATCAAACGTTGTGGCTAATGAATTTGATCATCTTGTCAGAGATTATTTGTTTAAAGTGTAACTTTGATGTATAGTTTGAAAATGAAAGCGCTAATCTGTTCATTACACCCATGTTGTCCCCATGTAAATTTTGTAATTGTTCTAGCTAATGCAGGAACAATTAAGGGGCCGGTGTGTAGTGGCCAAAATGTACCTCCAGCCTCTAGATGTCACTAGTGCTGGATACTGTCACACCTGTGTGTATTTAAAGGCACACCGCGGACTTTGTGACCTAAAGAGTTGACACATATGAGTTATTTTATATGAATACTTGGGCCAATATACAGCGCTTGACACTTGCAATGCTCCGAGCGGGGCTGCCCTCTTGAAATACCGCCCATGTAAGTTTAGAGCAGACGCACCGTCGTTTACCAGGTCACATGACTTGGAAGAAAGATTTGCTTTACGGCTACAGGCGCTGATATACTCATGGAGCTAAGGCTTTTGCTACTCATTTTTCACCTGCTCGACTCCTGGTCATGGCTGAGGCAAGGAAAAAGTTTAAACCTTCGGAGGAGGCTAAAAAGAGGAAACGCGAAAGGGATCGTGCTCGAGGAAAAACAAGGGTCGATCTGGGAAAGGAGTTTGCTCGTTGGCGCAGGTTGAAAGAAGAAGCTGGATGTAAATCTGATTCTGTTTTTTCAACTTCGTTATTAGACTGGTAAGTGAAGTCTTTGTTCCTAGTATACAGTAAAGTTTCTTTATTCAGCGGATGTCTTCTTTTCTTCAATCGTGAGTCAATGAGCCCTCTTCAACCAACAGGTCCACTACTGTCTGAATACACACTCAAAAGACACCGGCTGACTGTTTGTTGACTTTTGCGACAGTGCTGAGTTGCTTGTGGCCACTAGGGGCGCTAAACGTGAAAGTTGCAGGTCTAGCGCCCCTAGTGGCCAAGAGTTACACGGTGTGCCTTTAAGGCAGGTAATTAGTGCAGCAGGTGTTGCATGTGTGAGGAGGAACAGTCTTTTGACCGTGTTGATCAGCACATGGAAATAAAGGATGGAATTTTGTGCATATTTTTGAGTATTGGACTCATTTTTGGACCAGGAAACACGCGTCTGAACTCCCACCAAACATTGCAACCTAGTGGTTCAGTGACATAGGGCCACTGAGCCTCTACATGGGCTTTTCAAGCATGAAAAGTTGCCTCTTCGAGTGGACCGCTTCGTTGCTCGTCACCTTACCTTCATTGAAGGTAAAATGAGGATTTGCGCGTCAAACACTGCAGAGGAGGAAACCACTAAAACAGCGTCAACAACTGCCGATGTCGAAGGCACTGGGAGGAAAAAAAAGTCAAAAGGTTGCTAATAAAAACACTCAGTTACATACAGTATACTATAATAATAAATCAGGGGTGGTTTTTATCACAACCACCTTTTTGTTTCAATTTGAGCTATATGTTAAAGCAAATATTCTTGAGCAACTCATTACTTCAAGTGACAAAACCCAGAAAAATAGCACCGTTTGCTGTCATGGATTCCATCAGTTTAGTTTAGTTTATTTATTTGTTTGAGCAGTTAACCTGCTCAAAGGGAGTGGGCTGAAACCAAAGGCTTATAAGTGCCCACCCCGACATAAAAATAATAACATTACATTTAACATTTACAAGGTAACAAATAATAAACAAAGGAACATAGGGCTATATCCCTGTATATCCCAGGGTAGCTGTGCTACCATTTGTATATGGGTTTTGAGTGTCTGGAAAATTCAATATAAAACTATGTTATCATTTCAATAACAGAAGAATATAGATACCCAAAATCAAAACTCAAGAGTATCTAGAAGATAGTATTATTATTATTATAAGTATTATTAAGTTATGACAAGTACACTTTTTTAGGTAGATCTTCACACCTAATGAACGTTTACCTTCTGCAGACTCTGACTCAACTGCTGGCATCCTTGCTGATGAGGCTCTGGAAAATTGGAGGGGCCAAGGAGTTCCACCAAAAAAACGCAAGTGCCACTCTTATTTGGCCCCATGTCCTGAATGGATGAATGCCAATCAATCTACAAAGAAAATGGTTAAAATTGGGCTGCTGAAAAATGGTAACCATCATCAACCACTCAAGCTGGGAAACAAAACAGTATCTGTGTTAAATACTTGTGCAGTGGATGCATTTTTGCAAAGTCTGAGCTGTGCATACTGTGACAGCATGTCCTTCCAGTATGCGGTCAACACCGAACCCTCAAACCCGTCATTCAAGCTGGCCAAATCCATTGCGACAGATGGTATTGGCAGGAATGCATATATCCAGAGAGCTGAGTTGCTGACCACATTATTTCCAGATGTCAGGTGCACTCCAGATTGATGCTCAGTGTCACATTTCCAGTGTAGTACAGAAAACAATGAGGAATATCACAAGCGTGTACTTTCATAAGAAATGTTCCTCCCAGCACTGCGTGCTCAGTGTGCAAACCTCAAGGGAAGTACCAATTGTCTATCCATCCTTCGATGTACTGCAGACTTCTGGTATGGCTCAACTTGAGATTGCAGTGCAGCAAGGACTTCACCTGCCCATATCTCCCTGTCTCAGGCCAGTCCATTTGCCACTACAGGGTCACCCTGGAGGCACCGAAGAGGAGTCATCTGCCCTATGTGAAGGGATGGTCACACACAGCTGCAGTCTAGGAGAAATTTTATGGGTTGATACTGACCGTATGAGTACTTCACAAACTCACCAACAAAAAAGAGTCTTCCTTGTCTGAATTTCCATCCAGCATGGTCCTTCAGGATAAGACCTTCACACTAAGGGCAGTCATAGCATTCAGAGGTGGAGAGTCAACAAATGCCATGGGTCACTACGTCTGAAGGTCCCCAAGAGTCTGGGAGATGTTTGATGACCTGAGGAGCAAAGTGAAAACTGTGGCAGAAAATAGACATGTGTGTCCACATGCAGTGCTTTACACACATGATCAGTAACCTTGTTTTTATGCTTTTGTGAGAGTTGTCCTTTGGCACTTTAAGTTTGTTTGCAATTAGTTTGGCATATGTTTCAATTCTATGTCCATGTTTCTATTCTTTTGTATGTGAAGATATACCACAATATTGTTCTTTGACAGTGACTGCTTTTAGTTCATTCTTACTTTAAAAACATTTCCATTAAATTAAGTTAATTTAAGAAAACAAAACAAAATGTGTATGCTTATAAGCTTCACTACTACAACACTACCATGCTAATCAAGCAGTAAAGAAGGCCTCATACATGTACTTAAATTAAAGCTACATAAAATTGACTTTCAGTGGTATTAGTACTACTGTACACACTACAAAAAAAACAGTGACTCCACTCCACACTGGCTGTTCCAAGCTGCCATCCTGCACAAAAAAATAAATAATAATAATCATGTAGTAAAATGATTTAACCAAATGACAAAACACTAAGCGTACTACGGAGCCCTGCAAGGGCCAGGGGTAAAAAAATAAATAAACTGTGCGCACAGATTGTTAAACTGTGCGCACAGATTACTAAACTGTGCGCACAGATTACTAAACTGTGCGCACAGATTACTAAACTGTGCGCACAGATTACTAAACTGTGCGCACAGATTACTAAACTGTGCGCACAGATTACTAAACTGTGCGCACAGATTGTTAAACTGTGCGCACAGATTGTTAAACTGTGTGCACAGAATTGTTAAACTGTGTGCACAGATTGTTAAACTGTGCGCACAGATTACTAAACTGTGCGCACAGATTACTAAACTGTGCGCACAGATTACTAAACTGTGCGCACAGATTACTAAACTGTGCGCACAGATTGTTAAACTGTGCGCACAGATTGTTAAACTGTGCGCACAGGATTGTTAAACTGTGCGCACAGATTACTAAACTGTGCGCACAGATTACTAAACTGTGCGCACAGATTACTAAACTGTGCGCACAGATTACTAAACTGTGCGCACAGATTACTAAACTGTGCGCACAGATTACTAAACTGTGCGCACAGATTACTAAACTGTGCGCACAGATTACTAAACTGTGCGCACAGATTATTAAACTGTGCGCACAGATTACTAAACTGTGCGCACAGATTATTAAACTGTGCGCACAGATTGTTGAACCGTGCCCACAAATGCGTCAGATGAGATGTCACTTCCGGCGCCGCGTCATACCCGGTCTACTGCTACGTTAATATAATAGATCCATGACTACTACTGATTACAGAGACTATTTTTGTTGTATCGTGTTTTTAGTGTGAGATGACGTCGAAAGTTTCAACGTTTACTTTTCAACGGAGACAGGACAGTACGTCTGGTTATCACTGCTGTGTTCCACGATGCTCAAATTCGGCCAGATTTACTCTGCTTTAAGTTTTTTCACATTCCCTGGAGATGCTTTACTGCGAAAAAAGTGGATCGTGAAAATAAGAAGGGACCAGTTTAAGGTTACGTCAAACACACGGGTCTATTCTCGCCACTTTGAGGCTGAAGATATGATCCAGCCCACCACCCCACAAGGACGTCGTATGTTGAGGAAAGGTGCTGTCCCGCTGCTTTTTGACTGGACCGGGTATAGCCTCCCTGCTCCACGACCCGGTGTTTGGGAGCGAACGGAGCGGCCAAATCCTCCCGGTTTAGACCCTGAAGAGGATCCAGAGTTGGGGGTGGCCTGCTCTGACCACGACTACTGCTCCACCACTTCTGAACCAGCTGCTCTGGATTTAGCCCTGAGCAAAGCAGCGGAGTCCCAGGCTCAAGTAGAGGCGCTCCAGAGAAGGGTCGAAGAAATGACCATCAGTTGCAGGTTCGGTCTGCAACGCTTTGCTGGCTCCGATGAAGACATCAGGTTGTACACGAGGTAAGCTAGAAAGCTTTGAATAATCCAAAATGTAATAATTATTAGCATTGTAAAACAGCAAGTATAGAATACTGTATGGTGAATGTATGGTAAAATACTGTATATAGTGCAAGAAATATGTTGTCATTTGATATTGTATATTTATTAAGTTTTATTTAAGCAAAAATATGATTTATTTGATTGAATTCTCAATTACTAAAATATTTGATAGCTGCAGTTCTACTGGTTTATGGCCTTTTTCCATATAAATGAGATGTTACTAACTGAGGATCTTGTGCCCCTTGCTCAGGTTTTCAAGTTATGCCCACCTGATGTCTTTCTGGAGCCAGATAGAACCAGCCTTGCCGTGCGCGTGACCAGCAGACTGGCAGAAACGTCTGGACAAGATGTTCGCCATGCTTTTCCAACCTCACTTCAACCCATTGATGAGTTTTTTCTTTTTATGAATTATCTAGCTTTGGATCTGGTGCAGAAGGATCTGGCTAATAGATTTTTTATTCACCAGTCCACTGTGAGCCGCATCATCACCACTTGGGCCAATTTTTTATATCAAGTGTTGGGAGCTATTGGTATTTGGCTGGATGAGGAGGCCGTACACCATTATATGCCAGAGGTTTTCTCAGAGTACAGTGACACACAAGTCATCTTGGACTGCACAGAGCTGCGCTGTCAAACACCTGACTCCCTCTTGCTGCAAAGTGAGCTGTACTCCAGCTACAAATCACACTGCACTTATAAGGGACTGATTGGAATGGCTCCTCATGGCGCAATCACATTCATCTCTCCACTTTATGAAGGCTGTGTCATTGACCGGGAAATTCAAGCAGTCAGGCCTTGTAGCTCTGCTGAAGCCCTCAATGGCTATTATGGTGGACAAGGATTTCCTTGTGAAAGACCTGGTCCCCTGCAAAGTCCACATACCCGCCTTCCTGAAGAAACAGAAACAGCTGTCTGGAGCCGCAGTAAGGAAGACTCAGTCCATTGCCAGGCTTAGAGGTCACGTGGAGCATGTCATCAGAAGGGTGAAGGAACACAAATTGTTCAGGACAGTGCTCCCCTCGTCTTCAACTGGAAATATTAATCAGCTTTATGTTGTTGCCTGTCTGCTTGTAAACTACGAGAACGGACCTTTAGTGAAAGCCTGGGCCAGTCCCTTTCCATAATCATCATCGGCCTCTATGGACCAATACCAATGTTTTTCTATCATTTCATGTAGTGTGTTTGATTTTCTGATCTGTGTTGTGATTTAGGGCTATGTATATGTTTGGAGAAAGCTAAGTTGTTTTTGTAGCCTTGTCCCTTTCCATAATACTTAGATACATGTTGTATCCACTTCTCTAAACCCTTGACTTAGCAAATAAATGCATTAAGACTTCTAACTAAACTATGTTGTCCTTTTACTTATGCTATTGGGCTGTGCAGAAATACACCATAATGTCCTTAAATAGATAATTAGTGTGAAACTTGATTGCAAATGCTTTGATTGTACGTAATAACTATGAATGTACAGTACATAACGATATGTATTCCAAATACAGTGTAAATGTTACATAACTATATGTATCCAAAGCTATTTCTGTAGATGTCACTGACGGAGGAAATTAGCAAATATGTTTGTTCTATCACTCTTGTCTACCAAGACTTGTGTTGTTTGCTTTTTGCTTTTTATTTTTTGTTACCATGCCTGGACAGTAGGGGTGGGACATGGGGGGGGTGTGAGTGAGTGTGTAGTATCTAAGTGTGGTATTGTTTTACTGTATCTTTATTTCCTTAAAATTCACATGAACATGTATTGTGCATTACTGCTCATACTAAAAGACCCATTATCACAAAGGGTGAGGGGGGGAAAAATATAAAAAAATCTGTGCTGCATATGAAATTGTTATGTAAAACTTATAACCCGCACAACCCAATAAAAATTTGATCACAAAAAAAAAAAATAGATAATTAGTAAATACTGTCTTCATTTTAATTGTAGCAAAGTGCAATTTGTGGGAGTTGTGCCCAATAAACCAGTCTATGCAGATTTGGTACCAATCAGAACAGAAATTGATTTGTAAAATGTAATATTGTATTTCAAAAATGACATACACACAAGTCAAACACTAAATCATGAACAGAAACAAAATAAGATGCACTAAATCAATCATGCACATCCAGTAAACACAATAACTTTGCACTACTTTTTTTTTAAGACTTGTAGCATTTACAGCTAGTTAAGAAACATTACTATTTATTTTGTGTGCTACTGTCCTGTATGTGTGCTCCAACAATGAAATGTTCCCACTGTGGGACGAACAAAGGTTACCTTAAGGGAGGGTTCTCAATTTGAGGATAAATATTTGGAGATGTATGTATTAAAAAAAAACAAATCACATCGCTCCTTTATGCTTAATATCACTGTGTCATCCCTGTAAATG